TCGCACATAATAGATCTCACGTTAAACACTTCATTTTGTCTTATTAAAGTGCATTCAACTGATCGCTCCCCTTTTAGGACAATTGCTTACAACGGCTTTACAAAAATTTAAATTGCACATTGTGTTTATAGGCCCTCTTCTATCCCCGTTTATTGACCTAACTTACAAAAACTACCTCTTGTATAGATTATCCCCCTTTAATCCTAGTTATATTATGCCTACAGATTTTATATTGAATGCTTCTTATCCAGTAGAGCCGATTCCTATTATGTACGTATTATTGTACTTCAAGAAATCTATAAATATTTTATCATTATTTCTCGTATGTCTGCAGCATAATCCAATACTTGATACAGAATTCAAATGTGTTTATTTAGTGCAGGGGTCTCCAAACTTCCTCCCGCGGGCCGTATGCGGCCCGCGAAGTCCTCTCATCGGGCCCGCGGAGATCTTTTTGTCCAAGGAAAAAACGTTTGTTGGTGGTGGCTGGGGAAATTTGCTCAGAAAAATCACGACATGTCTGGAAAAAACTGGCCCCCGAACTGAAATTTGATAGTTAATGCGGCCCTCGGAATGAAAAGTTTGGAGACCCCTGATTTAGAGGCACCAATCATGCATGTAGGCGGGGGGGGGGGGAGAGAAATAAACGTAGAACTCCACCCCAAGATGTATGTCTTCACCTGGTGCTAAGTTACACATGACTGATTTGTCATACTTGACTGATTTCTCCAACATGACTGATATGTCCTTTATGACTGATATGTCCTACATGACTGATTTGTTATAGATGACTGATTTGTCCTACATGACTGCTATGTCCTACATGACTGATTTGTCCTGCACTACTTATATGTCCTACTTATATGTCCTGTACAGGTGCAGACTTGTTATAGATGACTGATTTGTCATAGATGACTGATTTGTCAGTCATAACTAATTTGTTGTGCAGTATAAAAGAACTGTGTCGTGTGATGTGTGTAGTTACTGTGTACTCTGTGCAGTATGGAAGAACTGTGTCGTGTGATGTGTGTAGTTACTGTGTACTCTGTGCAGTATGTAAGAACTGTGTCGTGTGATGTGTGTAGTTACTGTGTACTCTGTGCAGTATGGAAGAACTGTGTCGTGTGATGTGTGTAGTTACTGTGTACTCTGTGCAGTATGTAAGAACTGTGTCGTGTGATGTGTGTAGTTACTGTGTACTCTGTGCAGTATGGAAGAACTGTGTCGTGTGATGTGTCGAGCGGTCTCTCTCTGTTTGTCCACACTGTCAAAAATTGTCCATGTTAATTGTTATAAAATATTTATTTTAAATTGCATTATACGATTAGTTTTAGAATAATTTATCTATTTTAAATACACTGGCTAGTTTGTTAAAATCGTCGTCTTGTAAATGAGGCGAGTCTTGAGTAGATACATGCAAGATAGCGGGTAGGGAGCGGGATGGTACTGAACTACTTTTGCTGAAACAAAATAATACACCACTTCTCCAGTTTGTGTAAGCTTTGTAGAAGTAAAAACTTGAGACAAATGTTCGGTCCTCAATATAAGATTTAATGACAACAGTTGTTAAATTACTAAAAAATAACATTGTATGCAGAAAGGAACATTTATAGCGAGTGTTTAAATGTAAAACAATAAATAGACAGAAATCGCAAAAGAAATTTGATGTTTAACTTTTTAAAAAATGTTTTTAAAATATGTATGTACACCAGTTGAAAATGTAAAAATTTGTGGCACTTCACTCAGGGGAAGCTACCTATGATATTCTGCTACGACACAACAATTATACTGGTTGTCTCGCTTTGACAATTCAAAATTTACACCGAGCCGGTGACCTATTCTAATAAAACACATATGGGTGTTTGCTATCGAGACTTTTAGGTGGGGGCGGGGTAAATTGTCCAAACAACGTGATGTCTAGTTTTTACGGGGTATTTGTGTAACTGTCTGTTATTATAATGTTTTAAAATTATAAGAGAGTAACATTCAGTATCAGCAAATGAGAAACTATTTATTGGGCTTAATTAATTGTTGAATGCTTGTAGTCCAATTGTGTATCATCATAATCAGTGGCGTAGCGAGGTCAGGTCGGGTGTCACCCGGTGCGGCATTTAATAGTGTCACACCCCCCCCCCCCCCCCCCCAGAGCTACCCTTCCCGGGGACAAACTTTCAAATTTTTTATTTGCACCCCCCCCCCTCAAGTTTTTCTCCATATATTTTGCTATTTTTTGCCTTGGTGTTACCCCCCTAAATGGTGTCACCCGGTGCGGTCCGCACCCCCCCCCCCCTCGCTACGCTTCTGATCATAACAACACAATATTCTTACCTAGATAGTCACCTTCAGTATTGGAATATAGAAAAAAAGCAATACAAAATTACCAGTGAAATAGTACAACTGAAACATAATTGTTGGGATTTTACACGTTAATGGTGAATATGTTGTTGGAAAAAAAAAAGATACGAAAAAGAAAAAAGTAGTTGTTTAACTATGAAAATGTATATTAGAAATATTAAAACGTTACTTTTTTTAAACAGTTATTATTCTCAACTACTATAAGATTAAATAAACAGTGAATAACATTTCAGAAAAATAAACATTATTATTAATAGTTAATTAGCTGACTGCAGAGGCGTATCGAGGGGGTCGGGGGGTACATATGTAACCGGGCGCCGACCATAGGGGGCGCCAAAATGGGTTGGAAAAAATAAAAGCTCATTTTAGCTGCAGTTTTGCATTATAAATATAAAAAATATATGGGGGGGGGGGGTAGACGCCACGAGAAAGTGTGTCCACGGGGGAAGGGGCGCCAAGTTGAAAGTTTGTCCCCGGGCGCCGGGAAGGGTCGCTACGCCTCTGTCTGGCTGCAGCTGATGAGTACTGTAAGGCTTTGAATTAGTTGCATTATTGACTAGTGTGGTAGACGTCGATTGCTTCAGTGTTTAACTAAATATCTTAGAGGTATGTCGTGCGTTATTTTATAGGTATTAGATTGATTGTTATGCATTAGTTATTAGACCAGGTATGAGTATGTCAGGTATTAGTAGGTCTAAGACACGGGTTCCCAACCTGGGGCTCGCGACCCCCCTTGGGGGTCGCGAAGGGTTTTCTGGGGGGTCGCCAACTGGTATACTAAACTTAAGCATTGAGAAACAAAACTTAAATATTTATAAGAATATCTGAAATTTGGCTTTACTAACATCACTAGAAATGGAATAGAGAAGAAACAATGCATACTGTGCAAAGTTGTTCTCAGTCAGGAAATCTTCAAAACTAAAACCTCATTTTGCGACGAGTCATTCGGAACACACCAAAAACGATATGAAGTACTTTAGTCGGCGTGAAGCTAGTCGCAAACGTCAGAGACTTAATCGAACAGGGTGTTTTCACCAAGGAAACAAAACATCATATAAAGTCGCGATAGAAATTGCCAAGCAAAAAAAAAAAAAAAATCACCAAACCATGCATGTTGAAGATGGTGAAAATAATTCTTAGGGATTCCAGTGCAGTCAAGCTTTCACCATTATTTGATTTTCAAGTTGATAAATCAACAGACGTCTGTGTGAAATATATTCATCCAGATCATAGCAAAGAAGAGTTGCTATTTTGTGAAGATAGCAAGGAGAAAATAAATACGTTTTTGAAACTTGATTATTAAAATGGGTTAAAGCGGCTGTGGGGTTTGTACGGATGGTGCGCCCTCGATGTTTAGGTCAAAATCGGCCTTTCAGAAAACAATAAAAGATTTAGCTCCCTAACTTAGGGGAATCTACTGCATGCTTCACCGGTACGTCCTCGCCAGCAAGACTCTTCCGACTCCATTGCTAGTAAAAGTCGTAAATTATACTAATTCCGGAGCCCATAAAGAACTGCGCAGACATTAATAAAGATCACGATGTTTTTCTTTTCTACACTGGCAGTCAAACGAAATGTATTAAATCGTGTTTTTGAATTGAAAGATAAAATCAAGTTATTCTTGTAAGTGCAAACGATATAAGACCTTTTGATATACTTTAACCACAAAGAATGGTTGGAGGGAGCAGAGTTTCTGCCATGCTTCACTCCAACCCCCCCCCCCCCTCCCTGAAGAAAGTCTACCGCCCCCCCCCCCCACCCCGAACAAAATGGAATGTATGTAGGAAATATATATACTTTAACAGTGTCCCCCCTCTCAAGAAAAAATGTGTCCGCCCCTTCACCAAAAATTTCAGGTGCCCCCCCCTGGGAGAAAAAATTCTAGAAGAAACACTGGGAGAGAGTATCATACATAAGCTTAACCTGAAGCTTCTGGGACAATGAACGACTAGAAAATATTATTTTAATGCTGATTAATTTCCTTACTAATATCGACTTTTTAATTCTATTGGGGTCGCGGGTCACTTTCTTTTTATAAAAGGGGGTCGCCACTCGAAAAAGGTTGGGAACCACTGGTCTAAGACATGAATACGTTAGTACCTCAGGCACTAATAAGTAAGGCATCTGTGTCAGGCACTAATTAATCAGGCACTAGCTGTTAGGCTGTTAATCAGAAATTGGAATGTACGTCAGACACCAGTTTATAGTTCGTATTCAGGCTTTCGTTAGTGTTTCAGGTATAATTGAGAGCTATGTCAGAATTTGACTAGTTCGTCAGGCATTAGTTAGGATGTGATATATTACTGGGCCTACGCCATTTATTAATTAGTGTACCACAAGTCCAGCTTTAATAAACCAAAAAATACACGAGTAAGTCTCGGCACTGCTGTGCTTATAAATCATGGCTAAAACAGATTCTCGTATCGAAAGCGTCGATAATGTCCCCTCATACGTTTGTAATGGAACTAGCAGACAACGCCTGTACTCGGCCTTAGGCACATCTGGCTTGCTCTGGGCGCCAAGAAGTGGGGCGTTGCCAAAGCTAACGCGTGGGGATCGCCGCACCCTCCCCTAAGTCCGCTAAAAATACGTTCCTTACACTCTGGTCACCGAACAAAATTTCACCTTTTCCGTTAAACGAAACATCAATTCAGAACACCGTCTATGGCGACCAGTTGTTGCTTGTTTTTGATGACATGTAACGCTAAATAACGATATCCTTTAAAGTTTAAATAGGTTAGTTCACACAAAAATTAGTCTGGTTTAGTTAACCTACAATCAAACTAAATTTTTACAGTAACAGTAAGGTTTTTTCGACGCGTCATTCTCACAATCCGCCTGCCCCTTATAAAAGTTCAATCTGTCAACAGAGTCCCCTACAACGACACTGGAACTTCTCCCAGAACTAATTGTCTCATTCAAAAGCTGAATAATTTTATCATTTTCTCCCTTGGGAGTCTGTATTGTTCCTTCATAGATCGCCTCCCCTGGGGTAGTTTGAAACCGAATCTTAAATAACTGTTTATCTTTTTCTTTTTGTTTGGGTAATTGTATCCTCAATAACTGAAGAGTTTTTTGAAGTTTTAATTTTTCGCAAATATTTTGATTCCGTTTGGAGTTTATTTTTAGCACAATGACCTCTGCGAAGGCGCGGAAGAGTTCATCATGGCGGGGGACGGTCTCAATGTTGACTTGGTCGCAGAGACAGAACTCGAGGGGTATCGGAATGTCCTCGCACGTCCGGTTGATTGGAATCTCTTTGAAGAGGCTGATGCCGTGTTTTCCTGGAGCTAGCGGGCTGGGGGTTTTCGGCCGGAAGTAGATTAAATCCTGCAGTGTGGCATGCGTGTCGAAGTGGGTGGTCAGCCTTTGTGTGTTGGTCTTCAAGTTGGTTCTGATTTCCGGGTACTTTTCTAAAAACCATTTGGGAAAGGAAAAAATGGCGTATGGCGAACGGCTTTCCACCATGCCGTTGACGGTCGATCTAATCGCGCCCCAACGTGGTCCGTGGTCTGAGAAAGTTATGACTACTGTGTTGTTAAGATGTCCTTTCTGCTTCATAGTTTTGTAAAAATTAAACATGTGCGCATCCGCCATTTTGGAATTTGTCATATCGTCGTGGGTTAGTTTCGTAAAAAACGACATGGCGTAGATCGGCGTGTTGGGGTAGGTGTCAAAGAACTTCTCCATGTAGTTTAAATGAAAAACGATATCAGGAATATTCCCAGCGCAGTGATACCCAGGCCGCTGTAAATCTTTATCCCTCTCCATCGCCATGCTAACCGGTCGGCTGTAGTAGGTTGTGGGCGGGAGTTTAAACCCGGGTTTTTCGTAATGGAAACCCCCGATGGAGGGAATATCCTCTGTGTATAAAGTCCTGAACCCCGCCTTCCGGAAATCGCCCCAAACTAGGTCAAACTCGTCCGTATTGGTAGACCACTCCCACCATTCCTCCACCTCGCTGATGTTGTATCCGGTCAGCAAGGGGAGGTAATTCGGGAAAGTGTTCTTCCCGAGTTGCGTATACATTTCCATATCAAACGAGTTGAGTTCTTGTTGTAGAAACGAATACGTCAGGTTCATTGACCTAATAAACTGGTGCCTGGATAACCCGTCCATGCCTACCATTAAAATATTCAGCGTCTCCGCAGGCGCTAGTAATTTGCTGCGTTTTTTCAGTTTTAATGTATACAATTCATCGCGTTGTGGGATTAACGCATGATATGTTTTTGAGATGACTTTTGAATTTTTATTCTCGCACTCCACCAACAAAAACTCGACACTTTCAGAAAACGTGAGGCTTTTGTTAAACTCTTCACTCCAGTCTCCAAACTTGACGTCTTTATCGCTTGTCGGATGTTTCACAATTTCTCGGTATTTACACGATTTAAAATCTCCTGGTATTTTTGTACTGTTGACGACTACCTGATTCTTATCGATGTACGTGAGATCCGGCATAAACCCCTCACATTTAATCGGGGTCTTATCCAGCCCGGATAACTCCAGAATCTCGACCTTGAAAGGGTCAACATCCGGGTACAGACACCCAAACAGCTCACTCGATCTCACATTGCCAGTTTTATTGTCGAACAGGCCAGATTTGAACTGGGAAAACTGGACGTTTTTCTCCAGCAAGTTCAGATCAGCGTCAAGGGAAGCAATCCTTTGTTGTTGTTCGTCCTCTGATGAGATGTAGCGCTCAACTAAAACAATGGATGAGCAGATAACTAGCAGCACACCAAACATGAGTTGTAGAACTTGGGACCGGGACAGCCTGCAGACTAAAATTAAAATATAGATGTATTTACCGATATATTATTCTTGTGTATATCTGTATATTCTTATATACATATATATAAATAAATAAATAAATATATATATATATATATATATATATATATATATATATATATATATATATATATATATATATATATATATATATAAATAAATATATATATATATATATATATATATATATATATATATATATATATATATATATATATATATATATATATATATATATATATATATATATATATGTAGGTATATATATGTTTATATAGCTATATATGTATACAGTTTTATATATATATATATATATATATATATATATATATATATATATATATATATATATATATATATATATATATAGTTATATAGTTATTTGTATAGTTATACATGAAATGTTTTACCATCTCGTTAGCTTTACTTTAGGCATTTGTATTAATTTTAATAAAAGGTTACCTCATCAAATGTTAGTTTTGTGTTGAATCCATATGTTGGAGGAGAACGTGTTTACATTATGTGTTCTCGAAAACTAAATGGGTGCACATATTAATGCAAGTCTAAAAAGCAACGTTTTCATAGTACAATGGTGTCACACAAACTACGTTCATTGATTGACTAATCAGTTCTTGAAAATAATCAACTATACTTTTCTCCTCTGTAAATTGTGCAGTTGGTGCCACCCGCACCACCCCCCCCCCCCCCCCCCCTCCCTCTATCCACCGGGTGATAGTTTTAAAATGTGCACAGTTAACAGTAACGTGTGTCAACAGTTGGTTGTTAATACAGCTAAATATAGCATTGTTTTCTCCATAGTAAGCAGGTTTGCATTTTAGTGTGGACCCGCCCCCCCCCCCCCCCCCCCCCCATTGCTGGGAGTGTGAACTTGTACTTAAAAGACTTTTTTAACTTTAATTAATCACTAATTAAAGAGACAAAAAGCATTTTTCTTCTATATTTTGCATTTTGCATTTTTTGTGTCTTGGTGTCACCCTCCCCCTCCCAAATGGTGTCACCCGGTGCAGTTTCCCCCCCCCCCCCCCCACCCCGCCTCTGGGTACAGATATATGTACATGTACAGGTAAATGTACAAGTACAGACACTGGGCCATAAATGAAAGTCTGTTTTATACCCTGAGAATCTTGAACACAAAGGGAGACATAAAGGCAGACAATCGAGAAAAGTTACCACAATCACTTTAAAATGGATCGCTTCCCCTAGTTTAAAAATTGTCTGATAGTTGAAAGAATACACGTTTGTACATTTTATCTGGTAGGCCTGGAATAGAAAAGGTAATCGTCAAACATCCTTATTCTCCCCTCTCCCCCTTTTTCCCCCAAACACACACACAAACCACCCTCCTCAAACTGTTTGCAATAGTATTTTAATTGGGTTTTCCTGTGTATGTTGTTTTTTTTTATTCAATAATGAAATTTGATCGCACGAAAATTGGATTGGACATTGGTTAAAGTAATTATTGTTTATATAAATTACATTTTTTTTCATTCCAAGGACCGGTAAACTTGTTCCCGTGGGAGGGGGGTGGGGTAGATGGGTCAAGTAATTGCTGACCATTAAAGCGCGCGTGGTGCAGAAAGCCGAGTGTGCTGGGATGGACACACTCAGAAACAAAACCAAGACACACTGTTGCACCGGACACGCTGTTGTACCCGATACACTGTTGTACCCGACACACTGTTGTACCCGACACATTGTTGTACCCGACACATTCACATTGTTGTACCCGACACACTGTTTTACCTGACACGCTGTTGTACCCGACACACTGTTGTATCGACACACTGTTGTACCCGACACGCTGTTGTACCCGACATACTGTTGTACCCGACACACTGTTGTACCCGACACACTGTTGTACCCGACACACTGTTGTACCCGACACACTGTTGTACCCGACACGCTGTTGTACCCGACACACTGTTGTACCCGACACACTGTTGTACCCGACACACTGTTGTACCTGACACACTTAACTTGCCCCAAACATAAAACAGCCTCCCACCCCAGCGTTATCTTGCCTAAACTGTTTACCTCATTACACCTGTATTTGACCAAATCACACCTCCTTCTCCAGCTTACATTGACTGACCAATGAGTCAAGAGTCAATGACGCAAGACAACGGAAAACACGCAATCGCAAGCAAATAAAACGTGACTCGGTCAGAACCGGATCAAACGACGTATGCGGTTAGACCGACACAACAAATTCAGCCGACGTCCAAGAAGAATGCGCAAATGGACAACAAAGAACTGACCGACATTCCAACCTGATCAATCTACGTCCTACGCTACCCGAAGTACAAAGCTGAGCCGCTATAGTCGGAATATCTAAGGAAGATTCAACCCCGCCCACACTTCGAAAAATAAAGGGGGAGATAATCAGAAGTTTAACCATCAGAGTTATTCGCCCTTATATGCTTATAAGGAGTGACTGCCCTTGAATATCATCAACGCTGTTTCGTTATTCCCTGGCCAAACAAGATTTTTTTTTTTGGTCACTGGCCGACTAAAACCGCACTGGCCAGTTTGGCTCTACCATCCATTCAACTCGGCGACGCAAATGTAAGAAAAATAGTCTGGTAGATCGCTATATTGAACGTTTTAATTATGTCCCCTTTATACGTCATCCGCCCTGACTTATTTTTAACCAGTCTCGTGTGTATTTTATGTGTGTAAGGTATGTGATGTTCAAGTGTATGTATGTGGTGTGTGTAGGTGTACGTCTACGTTAATGTCCATGTGGCCGACGGGTACAGTGACATCTGGCCGACAGGTACAGTGACATCAGGCATACAGGTACAGTGACATCAGGCATACAGGTACGGTGACATCAGGCATACAGGTACAGTGACATCAGGCATACAGGTACAGTGACATCAGGCATACAGGTACGGTGACATCAGGCATACAGGTACAGTGACATCTGGCATAAAGGTACACGACAGGTACAGTGACATCTGGCCGACAGGTACGGTGACATCAGACACAACACTTCAACATGCTTACATCATGCCTCCTTCAGATACAATCTCTACAGTAGCTCTACCAGCCAAGGTCAAAAACTTCCCATGAAAATACATTCTACAGCGCGGTAGACTCACTCGCTTTGTTACCATTTGTCGTACATACCCTCCTATTTACGCAGTTTATAAAGTTGATCAAGGGGAAAAAATTCACAACACTGTTGGAACAATTCACAACAACTCACTATCACGAAGGTGTGAACTAAAGATAACCCACACCATTCTTCCCCCACCCAAACATTCGCCGTGAACTGTAAACACTACATAACTAGCTACCCAAAAACATACTTCTGAATACAACTCACATTATATTATTCTCGAAAAGTATGCGTGTATGCTTAAATTTCCTGTACTCATATGTTATGTGGTTGAGGGTGTGTGTGAATGTGTCACATTCGTATATGTGTGTATAAATCGGTTTATACTTAGGCTATATGAAATTGTATATGTGTATGTTTATGTATATGCTAGTACACATATTTCACATGTGTAAGTACGTTATGGATGGTACCACTGACGCTTTAAAAATGTGATGCTTATTTTATCCAAATGCAATGCCTTCAATCTGAAAAAAAATCGTTTTGTTAACTTATTTTAAACCGCCAAGAAATTAGCCTATGGGCCTTCAATAAACGACGTCATAGGAATGTGGGGGTGGAGGGGGGGGGGTTAAAGGCGGGCGTGTGTTGTCAAATTAGGGATGAGTCTGTTTTTTTTTGTGAAGATGGGATAAGACAAGTAGTAAAACAAGCGTGACATCATTTATAGATTACCCCCCCCCCCCTTCCAAAGCTTTAGCTAATAAAATCTCCGTTCTAGAGAATTTATTAAGCGTGAACATCACACTTGACTAAGAAAAATTGTATCTATTCTAGATTTTAAAATCGTATCTTACTTGTGTGGTGAGCCGTCATTGTCGGGAGTATTCTTGCTGTGGACTCGATTTTATTGCGCTTTTGTATAGTACATAAACTGTGAACATTAAATCATCCGAATGTTCTGGAATACTTTTATAACACACACCTACATCCGTAGTCCGTCAAGATCTCTAATAACATCACACTAGACCTGTTGTAACGACGACCATACTATGCAATGGCCAAGTACACGTTATCGACAGGAAGATGTTTTAACTTCGCTTGAGATTTTTTTTATCAGTTGTTTGAATTGAAACAAAACAGTGTGTTTGTTTTTTGTATCGCGATTTGAATGAATGGAGTTTAGACTGAGATAAACCAATTGATAACAACTACTGGGGTGGGTTTCTGTCCGCACCCCACCCCCACCACCACTCCCTCACCCATTGTAATTGTGATTCCCAAACTTAATCATTATTATCTTGATTAGAAGGCCATGGTTTGGATACAGTAATTAGATTTTAAGCATTTAAGTTTTGTGCGAGTGTTTTTACATTAGTCGACCAAGGACCAAATCTTAAGTAAATATATAAGGCTACATTGATCCCACTAATGTTTCATATCTGTTTAATTAGGTAGTCCAAACTGAAATTAACTATTGATTGCAGACTTCTGGAGTGAGTATGCCATGAAAGAACTTTTAATTGTAAGGTCTATGCCACAAATTTTATAAAAATATCTCAATAAATAAAAAAGTTATGCGATTTTTAAAAAAGCAAAATTTGGTAAAAAACTGATTTTCAAAAAGTGCCATTTTTGAGAACCCATATTTTTTAAACTAAATAACATAGAAGTGTGGAAATTGGTAAAGTTGCTGCAAAGTTTGTAATATATATGCCCAATTTTTTTCAGTCATCTAAAATGAGTCTTTCTAAGGTAAAAAAATAATTGAAAATGACAAAAATGCGTTTTGGTCACTTTTATTTTCATTAAAAAAAAAAAAAAATTCAATTTTTTTTTTTTTGCTTTGGAATAACTCTAAAATTATTGTGTTGGTAACATCGACGTGGAAAAATGTGTTAATTATTTTCAAAAATCACATGAGTTAAAATATTATTTTAAAAAATACCACAGTTATCTAGTGCAGGAGAAACAGAATCAAAATTTAGTAGAGTAAATGTAATGTAATGTAGTTTAATAAAGACGTGATGCCTACAAGTGATGCAGCAGTTGATGCCACATGCTTTGGTTTCTTTTCAAACCTGATAACTGCTTTGGGGGAACAGTTTTGGGGGAACATCTTTGTACGTCTTGTTTCCCTCAACCTTGATCTTGTGGAGCATCAAGAGTAAGTAATATGTTTTGGGAATTGTAGGGGGGAGTGGGGTCTTGGCCTTCTTCCCTTCCCTTGTAAGGAAAGTTCTGGATAGGCCACCGTAAATGTCTCCAGCTATGGAACGAACAATTGATTTAGTGATTAATAAAATATAATTAAATTTACTACTAGCCTATTGTGTAGGCCTACTATTTGTCCTATGACTATAACTGGAAACATATGAAAAAGCCTGAAAACACCTTTTTGTTAAAAGTAATTTATATTTTTTATATATATTTTTAAGAGTAATTCTACTGAATGAAATTTGAAATAATCGTTGCTTGTCCCACAATGGTTGAGATATCCAATGATGAAGATGCCATACTGTGGTTCTCAACATCCTATAGGACAACTTAACTGTCCTTCATTGTTACTATTATATGCATATAAAATAAATAAATAATGAGAAATACTACTAGTACTACTTACACTTACAACTAATATAACATTTAAAACTAAGTCACAACATGTACAATCTTAATAAATTGCACAACCATCTAAAAATTGATCTGGTACATTTTATTAAGGAGACTGGCGCAGACCATTTCACATTATTAAGCAGGGGAATCAGAATCAGAGTGCACAACAGAAAATAAAAAAATTAATCACATTAGTCCTTAAAATTTAGTGTCTTTTGTTTTAAATAAATCGATAAAAATGTATAGTTATTATAATTATACATTTCTTTTGTGTTTCATTAATATTTTATAAGTATTTAACCTTCGTTCCCTGTAAATAATTGAGTTCGTCCACATAGTAACCAAGATAGTCTGGTGGCCATTTTGAATTTGTCGATTCATAATTTTGACGTGATAGTCCAGATAAACTGTAGTAATACGACCCTATCATTGATCCCAGTCAATAGATTTTAAAGAATTAGTAAACACTAGCATCTAATAGTTAAGTGCATCCATATTTTAAGTCCCTAGAATGTCCTGAATTAAATAGCTTCACGTCTAAACACACCCTGTGTACAAGCGTAGTTCACACGCTAAAACCGTGGACTTGAAGCGTTCAAATTTACATCAATAACGTGTACTAATTAAACCAAACTGACATTCAAACTTAAAATTCATTTATTAAAATGGAAATGAAACTTTAAAAATGATACTTACAACTTGTTTGAAGGCTCTAGCAAGGGTAAAATCCGTTTAGCATCATCGGTCGTCAACCTTTAAAACCGTTCGGCGAGCAACTTACTCGGGGCTGAAAGTCGACTCGAGGGTTATATGTTTATTGGGGGTACGGCTTCGCGACCGTAAATCAGAAATACTTGAATTTACAACACAAAGTAGTTATAAAACTGAACTTTACATCGGTGTAAAAATTGAAACAGAATTAGTTTGTTTCCGTGTATATATCGTCATTTAAAGTTTAAAATCTGTATTTTTTAAATGAAATAAACAAGTTATTTTTTCAATTTATACATTAAATGACAGCCTAGAATTCGATCTTTAAAATGACATTAAGATTATGCTTCTACGATGCTTCGTCGCGAAGCCGCGACCAAATAAAACAGTGTGGGGTCGATCGGTACACGCAAAACGGTGAAATTTGTTGACGTAACTGATACTTTTCAAACAAATATAAAACACATTCAGACATGTGTTACAGATATAAAAATACCAGATTACGACAGATAAAGACTTAAACTTTATTGACATATAATTTTTATTCTTATAGGACAACTAGAAGTAGTGAAATTTTTTTTTTGAAAACCGCAAAAACTGACCCTAAAACGCACTTTTTCGCCAGTTTGGACTACCTAGTTTAATATTGTGTCTCCAGTACAACAGAGTGCCTTCAAACCTAAGTTGTCTTGTAAGTCTTTGAAAGCAGTGTTTCTTCCAGACTTTTTTCTCCGGGGGGGGGGGGGGGGGGGCACTTGAAATTTTCGGGGGGGGGGGCGGTAAACTTTCTTAGGGGAGGGGGGGGGGGGGGGCGGGCACTGTTAAAAGTATATATTTTCTATATAAATTATATAAATTTCATTTCGTTCGGGGGGGGGGGGGCGGTAAAAAAGTTTCGGGGGGGGGGGGGGGCGAGGCCTGGAAGAAACTCTGTTTGAAAGTGGTGCGTCGTAAATCCCCATTAAAAGCCAACAACTAAAAGTCTGTAGGCGAATAGCTATGGTCTTGGCAACTCTAATCTGATAAGAAAATCGCGATCTTTAGAGACATAAAGAATGGGTTAAAAGTTAAGTTCCCTTTTTGAACCTGAAAGTGAAGGTCCTTGTATTTTGTATAGTCCCCCCCTGTTTCTGTAACTTTTCGCATATGAAGGGATAGTGTGGTCAGCTCTATGCCTACCCGCCTTTACTTTTACTAACGTGAGTATAATATGACTCACGAGTTATACGATTGTAGGAAAAAAAGTCACAGGAAAAAAAAACACAGGAAAAAAAAACACAGAAAAAAAGTCACAGGAAAAAAAGTCACAGGAAAAAAAGTCACAGGAAAAAAAGTCACAGGAAAAAAAGTCACAAATATATATTTGTATGATACTTGTTAATACTTTTATGTATTAAATATTCAGAGAGTGCAAATTAACTTAGGATTAATTAAATGTAATGTGTGTAGGCTGTAGGCCTATACGCATAGGAATTTTTATAATTCATCTAAAAATATTTAGTATGAAGTATGTAGATTGTACTTATTTTAAACTTAAGATTAGTAGCGTTTAATAGAATGCTCCAAAGTCCACGGTTTTAATCCTGTTTTTTTTAATACCAACATTAAATTACCGTGAAATGGTAAGTTCGTCTGACTTGCTGCCCTCAACTCATGGCCACCATAGTTATGTTTAGATGTTTAGTTCAACCACCTTTACTGCCCACATTTATCACGCTCATTACATAACAACACTTAGGATCAAAAAAGAAAGCCGACAAAGTTCAAATGCTGTCATTGACGCATGACGTCAACAACACAAAATATGTTCGGACAATGCCTACTGAGGAGAGGCCGACCAGAGAATAGCCTACGGCAAAATGTGCCTAAATTTTTTTTATAGTTAAATTTTCTACCGCGTTTTTAACTAAATACGTAACAAAAGTTGAGATTGTTGTGTAAATTATATTAGAGTATTTTTACTTACAATTGTTATAAACCATAATGCTTTTAACGTCTATAAATAATTTATGCTATAAAAAAATACAATCCACAACAAGAAACATACAAAATTTTACAATTCTAAACAAATAAAAAAAATATTTCTAAAAATATTTTTGTGACTTTTTTTCTGTGACTTTATTTCTGTGACTTTTTTTCCAAAAATTTTTTTCCACTGTGACTTTTTTTCTGTGACTTTTTTTCCTAGCAAAAACTGTGACTTTTTTTCTGTGTTTTTTTTTCCTGTGACTTTTTTTCCGTTTACCATAAAAATTGGTACCCTACCCATCCGAGCTGGGTGGAATCAGGAACGTTCTACTGACTTGAACCCAGAATTGAACTCCAGACTTTCGTCACAAATAATGCAGCTTGAAGGGGGGGGGGAGAAATAAGCCATGGACGAAATAGACCGGAAACAGGTTTTAACGGTCGTTATACGAAAGGCACCAGTGCAAGAAGTGCGCTATGAAAAGACCGGAATCACGTACTGAAGTCTGTTGAAACTAGCATAATCAACTTGACATAGATTAGCGTTGAATAGGCCCTAACACGCTGTTGACTATCCGCTTATCTTGAGAGGTTTGATAAGGGACTCTTATTAAAACAACAACTGGGACGTGTTTAAATATCGCTGAACGCTACATTTTCTTTTACTGAATTCTTTTTAACATAATTACATACGCGGTTAAATTAAATTTATAACATGTGAATATCTGTCTTATGAAGTCATTAGTTAAGTTGGTACATGATTTGATGTCGTTGATGACTGCAGAGAAAGGTTAACAGTTATGTGGTGAATTAGACACAGTAGATTACTTGATTGTTAAAGAAGACACCACACAATCCCAACTCAGCAACTTTCATTTAATGGATGGTGAAACTAAACACTCCATGATAGTCTTAGTATGGTCTAAAGAAGATGAGAAACTTGTTCATCAATATCGGCCAGACTTAGGGGCCAGCCCTACCACACAAAAACAAAACACGTCTACATCTTCACAAGGCTGACGTTCATCTCTCCTATGTCTCTAGTCCTCGCCATCTAGCGTGGTGTCTATGCCCTGGCTTAACCTCGAATACAATAGGGTATCTCATTACGTGTTTTCCCAAATTTGCATCCCAGGTTAGCTGGGTCCAACTCAGGTCAAAGAGCAGGCAACTTTTATTACCTCTAGCCTGCAAATCGCTAGGTGGGGCGGGGATCCCAGTTCAGGTGGGGGACGGGAGACGTGGGGGGGGGGGGTGGGATAACCCGCTGGCATCAACAATGGACTCAGTTATAACAGTCTGATATAAAGATGTGTTACATGTAACATAATCCCTGCAGGAAGGGGTGGGGAGGTGAGGAAAGATGTAGGGGGGGGGGACACAAGTGAGTGAGAGATATAGGCATTTAATTATGTATCTATTAACTGTTTTAAAATGTTGTTAATTGAATAGGTCTACTTGAAACACAGTAAACCAAAACATTTTATTCATATAGATATGGAGGTTATATCCAGGGGGAGTAGAAATATAATTAAAATTACAAAAGTTAAAACGTAATAATAAAAACACAATGTCTGTATATCAAATTCTGCTAGAATTTGATGCTGCTCTTGGAAAAGAATTAAAAGAATATGAGGAACTGTAGGTTATGTACAAGACATGCCCAATGACATAATATGTCAAAATAAAACCATGTCACATTTCATAAGGTATCATCTAAATAAATTCTGCAGTAATGGCATTAGGTATTACCTAAACAAAACCATTTCAAATTTTATAAACTATCACGTAAATGAATCAAGCATTAATGGCACTAGATATTACCTAAACAAAACCGTTTCAAATTTCATAAGATATCACCCAAATATCACCTAAATAAATCAAGCAGTAATGGCACTAGATATTACCTAAACAAAACCATTTCAAATTTTATAAACTATCACCTAAATAAATCCAGCAGTAATGGTACTAGATATTACTTAAACAAAACATTTAACTACAAGGAATAAAGAGACATGGCATACTGTAGGCTACACACACACACACACACACACACACACACACACACACACACACACACACACACACATATATATATATATATATATATATATATATAAATAATATATATATATATATATATATATATATATATATATATATATATATATATATATATATATATGTATATATATATATATATACATATATTATATATATATATATATATATATATATATATATATATATATATATATATATATATATATATATATATATATATATACATATATATATATATATATATATATATATATATATATATATATATATATATATATATATATATATATATATATATATATATATATATGTATATGTATATGTATATATATATATATAATTCATGAACAACATGGACTTAATGTTCAAGAAAGATGAGATTATCGATTATAAAATCCCCAAAAATCAAATTGATTAACCAATTAAGAAATCACGGAAGGTCAAGAAATAGACCTTAGTGTAGGTAAAAAAGAAAGCAAAAAAAAAAAAAAAAAAAAAAAAACAACAATCGCTCAACGACCTGGAATTTCCAACCCACAGTGCTGCACCTATCCTGATAACCACGTGATAACCTACCTTTACCCGATGACACATACTCCGCTGTTTCCAACACCTCGACTAAATGAGAAAAATATCCCAGTGTTGATATGAGTAAAGTTCCCTTTCGAACAGTCCAAGGGGCATGTAAAGTTCGCCTGTTTCTTTGACATCGACAAATGATGGAACAGTGTGGTCTGCACTATGCCCAGCCGCCTTTACTTTACCTAATCTACTTAATAAGATATTTCATGAGTAACCAACACTTTGACAATTATTTGTAAAGAAATATACATTTTGTTTTATTTTAATTTTATTTTAGTGCAATAAAAACATGTTTTAAAAGCTTGTAGATGTGTTGTATGCATATTGTAAGGCATTATAAGCTTGCTATTAATATGTCTACAAAGTTTTTGAGTACCGTTAATTTAATTAATTTGGTTTACAAATGGCGTGTTCTGGCATAAAAGTTTAGAACGATTTTTATGCAACTGAAAGCGTAGGCCTAATTGTATTTTTTTCTCTAAGCGACAATTTAAAACTACTAAAACTAAATTTATAACTTTCATGCTGATATCACTACACTTGTATATAAAAATCATTTTAAAATAACTCCAAGATGGTATTTTTTTTAAGCTAGGGGTCTACTCATATCGGCATATTCATTTGCCTGCCTACAAAAAATAAGGCCACAGGGCAAGAACAAACGGTGAGGGGCCAATCTGGCAAGACAAATCTCGCGCGCCGATTATTCCCTCACAAACACATGTGCCCAGACCCAGACTCCAGACGTCTGTGAATCAAGAGATAGAGAGAGTCTTATCTTGACCAGATTCAAACTAGAGATCTAGATTACCATGGAAGGCCAAGTGGGTGCGTATTTTTATCAAATACATCTAGAAATCTAGATCTACCTACAACTTTACATTATCTTATTTTAATAACTTAATCCTCTTTACTCCCTGTGGAGGGCAGCAACAAATCTCCGCCATTCCACTCTGTTAGGCATTTCGATGTCCGCCATTTTGTTTAATCTGGCCACATCCGAAATTTTTCAAGCCAACTTTTGTAATTTCGGCCATTTTCCATCCAAGTGCTTAGTTATCATGAGAGAATCGATAAATTAATGTATTCGATACGTCAAAGTGGGCTGTTTTTATATTCTATGTTTGTATGGAAAACTATTAGTTACATTTTAACATATCGATCCCAATTTTATCGAGGTATCTTAGCGAGCACGTCTCATTAAACGCAGTAACCGACCTCTTTCAATTAGTATTAATTTTAGCAAGAAAGTAAAGTATAATAAGCTAGACATTAGTTTTAAGGAGCATCCTAACCATTCTCAAGAACAAAAATAACAGTTTCATAGAGTTCTTTTCATTGGAACATGCTTAAAAAGCATTGGGAAATCTTGGGGGGGTCCCGCTGACACAATTTTTAACAGGGCGATAGGGGCCGCGAGGTTACCTATTATCGATAGAACCAAATTTCGGCATTTAAAAAAGAGATAAGTTCAGGAAACTAGATCTAGTAAATAAGTAATGCCAAACTATTTTGATGGGTGGAAATGTTGGTTTTGTGGGGCTTTTTAGCTCTTTGTAACCAGATATGGCTTCTTGCGTGAAGTGAAGGGGATCTACGCAATTTTAATAATGACGGTCCATAGACCATATGCATGAAATATAAAAAATCGCACATTTGATATTACTGTTTAACACTATTCATTGAATTGGCAAGATTTTAGCTTATAGAATGTTTTTTATGGATTAAATAAAATTTAAAGCAATGGAATTAATAGTCCCATTCATTAATAATCTTTCATATTAGTCATTTTCAATTGGGTAATAATAATAATAGGCCTAATTAAAATTTTAAATAGTAATAAATAGGCCCTTATAAATATTAGGCCCCTATAGAATAGATTTAGATCTATGTATTTTAATGAGTAATTGCTTATAAGAATCTAATAGAACTAATATTTATTGCATCAAGCTTAAATATATATAATTATGTTGTAAAATTACTTATGGATGATGTCTAAACTTTAGTTACCCCGTTTCAGGAAAAACTGATTAAGAAAATAATTACAAAGATTAAAAAAAACTGATTAAGAAAATAATTACAAAGATTAAATTGGTCATTTCTCAGATTATAGTATATTATCTTTAAAATTTAATAATAGCTAAAATATACTACTAGATCTATAGAGGCATGGAAAGTAAAATAAATGAAGTCAAAGATAAAATAGAAACATTAACACTTTACTTTAATAATGTGATCTAAAGCAACAGTAATAGATACATTTTTTTTAAAGTCAAAAAGAAAACAGAAACAGTAACACTTTGAACAATGTGACTTAATTTTATAACTTAAACTAAGCAACAGTAATTTTTTTTAAACAGTAGGTTCAGATCAGCAAATAAGGCAGCTGTCTATCCTTCGGTTGCGACACATCTCATCTAGTTTCTGTAGGCTGTCTATTGATTAACCATCCTTTGCTACTTATTAAAAGTAGCCTATAACTAATGCTACTAATATTTAGATACTTCAACATAATCCTAACCATATCATATTCCAGTATAATACACAGGTATTATTGATACAAGATTTCAGTGCCACCCCCATTAATTAGACTTTATTATATGTGATTGTCTTTTTCTCCTAGCATTTTTTTGACTTGTAAATTTCTATTCCCAACATCCTTAAGCATCTATGTGCTAAGTTTTATCTTTGTATCATCAAAAGCAACATAGATATTCAGTATGAAAAGTGACTTGTGGCAATCATAGTAGAACGGCACCGCACTCCTTAATTGGGCTTTATTAAGTTAATTATTAGTTGTTTTCCTTTTAATTAAGCTGTATTTCACTTGCATATTCCTGTTGCCTGTACTCCTTAGCACCAATATGCAAAGTTTTATCAATATATCTTTATTAACAACAGAGTTGTGCAGTTTGACAATAGACTAACGTTGCTCTCTATATAAAAACGCCATGACCCTTAATTGGTCTTAATTATTTTTGGTTTTACCTTTACTGATCTTTATTTCAATTGCATATTCCTGTTGCCTGTACTCTCTAGTATCAATATGCAAAGTTTTATCATTACATGTTAAAAAATAACAACGCTATATGAACTCAAAGAAGGACACCAAATATTTTGCAACTTTACAATAAAATATAAGCTGTTTAACATACAACTTTAAAAATTCATAAAAAAAAAACTACTGGGCCTACAGTGATAAATTTAGTGGTTTATTAAATGGCAGTTTATGGCCTTCAATATTATGTGTGTTTTATCATTCTGAGATAATTAGGCAAAATTTACCAAAATGCCTACACTCTGTCCTGGGCGAGCCACTTCAACTCGTGCCAGGTCTTGCCAGTAACCTGCACTTCTTCTATCTCTCTCCTCCATGTTCCGAGTGGTCTTCCTCTCATTGGTTTTCCAGGTGGGGTCCATTATTTCTAGATCTAGATTATCTATGTTAAGGAGTCTTCTGTTAATGCAAAGGACATGACCCAGCCATCTCCATCTCCTCATGATTTTGTACTTCAGTCTCTAAAATGTCGTTTAAAGTTTAAGCTTGTCCTTCGTGGTATGGGACTTTTGTCGTCCCTCTTTAACCACTTTAACGTGTGATTAAATCTAGGCCGTTAGATTCAACACTTCCGGGTTTGTCATTTTCGTGGCATCTCACGGCTCATGCGCTAACTAAAATGGCGACCAGTTTCGCTTTCTCTTTTCGGTAGAGGGATAAAAGTTATAAAACTATTGATTATGATGCCATCGTTAATTTTAGAAAACGGAACTAGAGCAAATTACATTGTCCGAACACTACATGGGACCGAACACTTCGTCGGTTTTTGGCTCATAGAAACTTTAATTAGCATGTCTCATGCGAAACAACGGCGCCTGCACGTAAACTGTTCATTTATGAACACTTCCGTGTCAAGTACTTCCGTTTCCTCTCTCAAGAATTATTTTTAGAAAATTTTTAACGTTGCATGGTACGCACATTTCTATTTTTACACCAGCCGGATGAAGTGACCTAGGGTTGGACTTAGGGGCAAAACTTGAACCAATCAAAGCTTAGCTAAAAGGTTACACTATAAATAGCTTCTATATATGTATGGAACATCGTAAATGTCAAGGTTAATGAGTTATTTTGTGCTTGAACAATAAAAAAGGGGTGTTCGCTAACTTTTTTGACCTTACATGGGACCGGACAGCAACACAAAAATATTATTAAATAAGAATTTAGAGCATAAAAGGGGCTGGTTATTGAAGGGAAAGGGTCAAAATAAGGTCAAGAATGCAGTGGAATGCGAAAGAGGAGGGGGAATCATGTGACCTGGCTGGCTTAGCAGCGTACTGCGCGAGCCGCAATGGCTGAATGGGATGAACTTTGGGAGTGTGGGAAAAAGGTTTTATACTATTAAAATTACCTCACAAACAATCAATAACACAATATAAATGCATATAATATATGTTTTTATTCATTAAATTGACTTTAAATTATTCTAAATGAACAAAAAGTGCTTTGTCCGATGACGGGTAAAGGTGTCCGAACACATTTGAAATTGTATTACATGTGTCCGAACACATGTTAAGACCCCCCAGTCACTATAACAAGAATAGCTAAAGTTCTATGCGTATGAATACAAAATGACACACACATTATTAAAGTAGAATGATTGCGGATAGATATGATACTTTTTTTTCCTTCCTATGTTAAGCGGTTACTGAATGAGACCGCATGGAAGTTTTAAGTTGCGTTTTTTCGCGGTGTGTGTCCGGACAGTGTAATTTGCTCTAGATCTAAAGTTCCACGCGCGGTTAAAACCCGGGTGCGGCCATCGCCTGTTTATTGCTTCGTACAATATTTGTTTTGATGTTTTATACGAAACTACCGATATCTGCTGTAAACCTGTTCATTTCTAAATATATTAGGTTGAATTATGGATTTTTTAAAATAAAATATTCTGTTATTTTAAATACACCATTAACTTCCTTACCCCTTAAGAGAACATTTGACACCACATTTAAATATCTAGCTTACTCGGTTGACGAGAAAAAAGAGAATTTGAAAATTAATCAAAAGTGGAAAATGAATGACAAAACAGCGTTCTTGGCCCTCGACCGGCATAACATGACGTCGTGGACTTGTGTACACGAGCTTTTAATTCCCGCCATGGTAATTGCGTCAGCTTAGGTAATTTACTCACCGGAAAATAACAAAAAGCAACTCGTTGATAATCAAACTAGATCTAGTTATTTTATTATTTATTAAATTCTACTCCACATGATATTCATACCAATTTAAGAAGTAATGAACACCTGCATAAATCAAATGACCATTATAAATATTTTATTTCAAATTCTAATTTTAAATAATAAATATGCTTAAAATGTTATGATAGTTTATAAATACAAATACATTTTACACTCAATTCACATTATATTGAGTCAACAGCGTGGCAGCTGAGGTTCATACTTGGTATTAGTGTCTTTTTTTTCTTTACATTAACATTTTTTTTTCATCTTGAAAACATGACGTATGTGATTATTTTTTAAAAATAAAATCTCCAAACATCGTCACTGGCGTGATTGCTTGCTTACATTTACTATACTGTGGGTGAAAAATCCACCACGGTCGCGGGTCACCGTGACTTCAGCAGGCCTATAGTACACGTCATAGAATGAACACGCGTACACGAGATGGTCGGTGTCTTCACTTCTCTCCCCCCCCCCCCCCCCCCCTTCTTCAAGCAAATTTAAAAACAGACCTACTTCTTGTCATTTTTTTTTAAAGTTCTGTCATTTTTTTAAAAGTTCACATATCAGGTATGCTAGACGGCCAGCTGTAT